GAGCACAGACCGTCCGTTCAGTTGAAAGCCCGATTCACGACTAAACTTGCGGACGACTTCAATTGGTGGAAAAGCCCTTGCCATAATGGCCCAAACCCACGACGATGGCAATTCGTGGCTGTAGTAGCTTCGGCATTCGTCCGTCATTCGGTTTTCGAAATTCATCCTCACGGAGAATGAATGAACTTTCGTTTTCGAAGAGAATTTCACTGGAATGCGAATCGGGATGTTCCATTGCCATAAGCTAGGGCTGGCTCTCTTAAGGTTTTGACTATGTGGATGACTCTCAGCACCGCCGATAAGTCTTTGATAGAATTTCTAACAGTTGAATATTGGAGTTTTATAAATAGATTTAATGCAAGCCCATTTACTAAATATTTACCCATTGAAAGGCTGTTCCCAATGTTCAGAATTAAGATTGCAATCTTTACTGGGGAAAGTCAAAACGATTGAAAATTAATGTTAAATACTGTTGTTCTTATTAAGTTAAAAAGGACCTTTGAACCGAGACCAACTTCTGCCACAATTACTGCCGATAAGCCACTGTAGTCTGATATTTCATTCCCAAGCCTGAAACTCTCCTGCTCCATTCCATGCATAACTTTCACAGCCAAATTAACACGCATTTTCAAAAAGAACAACTGAATAAATTGGCTTATCTGGTGGAACACACTAAAATGTCGGAATACTCCTCTGGATGCCATCCCCTTGGCCGATGTCAAAAGCAGCTACCACACAACTGGAAACTGGCAACAACCGACTGCCAACCACAATAAAAAATATATTCCACATACGCAGCGTTGGCTGCTGGCATCATTTAGATAAACATAACTCGGAAACTTAAAACCAAGTCCGGGGGCAGATCGGAAAGGACGGGTCATCTGACCAATGTGAAACGCATACAGACACGCAAAGAGCCGAATTCCCGGGCAAGCAGCTTTGGCCATGAATAAAATAAGCAACAACAACAACAAGAATACCAACTGGATAAAGCCGAAAAGTAAAATAACTAATATGCTATTGTCCCAGAGCTCTCAAAATTTTCAAGTGGTTAAACTGGTTAGAGCTAAAGCTGAACCAAATAGCTTTATCAGAAGCTGCCACAAATTCCCCTTGACCATCACTATAAACAGGAACATTAACAAAAGTAGGGAGTGTTGCGAATAGCATTGGTTCTTTTGGCCAACTGGGAAGATGGTAAAGGATAAGCCGATGATGACGAAGACGACCTGTAAAGTTGACAAAAGGCGTACCTCGATGCATTAGTTAAATTTTGAGTGCCAGTAGATAGGATTTTCCTTAGAAAGTATTTGATATTATATTATATGTCATAATTTCGTGAGCATGAGTTTTCAAACAACTATTTAAGGAAAGAAATTTAAAACTAAGACAGAACAGCTTCTGCTACTGAGTTAATGGCTTTCACTGCCTGAATACTGCCTTGAAATCCTTTCCAATCTTCTTTCCCTGGTAGTCGGTTATTGCCCCTTAGGGATCAGCATTTAGCTGAAATCCAAGAGCATTTTCTGCTTTCTGCTGGTGTCATGCTGGAAACGACACCCAAAAGTGTGGGCATTAAACGAAAGTTTCTCTTTTTTGCTCCTGATGCAATTGCAGTAAATTGCCAGCACAAAAAGCGGAGAAGTTGGTTGAGGAAACAAAACCCTTCCCAATGGCGCACTGAATGGCTTTTTGGGACCATCTAGGGGCAATTGATTCCTACGGGCGACTGCATGGGCGTGGCATGCTACTACTTAAAGCGCATTAGCAACAATCAGTCGAAGGAAAAACAAGTTGATTGCATTGAGTGCGAAAATTGCTACTGAAAATTGAAGTGATCGGCAAATATAGCCAAATGACAAAAGGATTTTCGTGGACGTTAAAGTCCTTTTTTAATAAAAATTGATATCTCTTGTAATTCAGTATGTAAATGTCTTCAACACTCATATAACAACTTCTTCTTTAATCAAACTCTTAATAACAACAGAAGTTCTCAATTCCGCCAATAAACACCTTTCCAAACATAAATGTATGTCCAGGACATCCAAAAGAAACAAATATTACTTGCAACTAATAAATTTTACACCTTTACCACTGAAAAACTCTTCAACTCAAATAAAAATATTCTGTGTGGTCGTTAATCAAATTAATGAGTACTTAATAAATGCCATTAAGTTTTTATTACATTTCCACCGCAAAGAAAATAAAATTAATGGTGCCGAGTCTGGTCCACAGATAGGTACATAAATTGAATAAATCGCTTAGCAAATTTCAGACAATTCAGGTGATATATATTTCAATTGGCCACAAGTGGATACAGACTGCGTGAATGTGTGTATGTGTATGATTGTTTTGATAAATTCGAAGACTATTATTACATTCTTAAAAGTGTAATTTAAGTATGCCATAGTATCAAATTCTTAGTCCCATTCATTAAGTCCCTTTGCTTACTTTTCATGGCTCTCAATCCAGGCCAACTACCTGTAAATCGGTCATATGGCGCTATTGAAACCTTTGCCAATCTCCGCTAATCAAAGCTACCCAATATTGCCTCCCACAGCGGCGAATCAATTCGCGCTGGTAGAAGCATCCTGGGAAAGAAGAATCCCACCAAATAGCTTTTCCATGGCGATTTTCTGGGCTCCAAACGGCGAGTTATGGCCGCTATTTCCGTTTGGTTTTCACAACTCAACGCGCCGACTTCCTCGCTTTGCCTTTTTGCACCTCCAGGTGGTCCGAGGTCCAAAACGACTGGGCCAAATCGGTTAGCGCAGCTTCCAGCGGGTTTCAATTTTATCGCCGCCAATTTACTGCTGTGTGCTGCCTTTTTCTGTTGGTGTTTTTCGTGTTGTACCACTGGCCCTTTCACATTTTTAGCCTTGGCAAAGAAAGCAGTTGCTGTTGCACATTTTCCTTGCCACATTTTCCATTGTGCTTGCCCAGTGATTTACTTTCGGGTGATTAGTGTTTTGCTATCAGGCTATATATCCACTGTGCAGGTATCGATTTACTCCCATCTGTTGATACGAGTTCCATTGCCTTGTGAGTTACAGGAACATAAACCAAGAGTCCTTCAACAAAGGCAGAAAACTACAGTCACAAGCGTGTAGTAACTGTTGACAGTAATAATAATATTCAGGAAGTCTGAACTTAGTCTCTATATTTACAGTAACTATTGCCCTCCTAAAACCAATATTAAATCAATGTTGGGCATCTACTATAGAAATGTTTTGAATAAAACTCGACCATTAAAAGCAAATGATCTTATGCCTACTTTGCTCCTAAAAATTATAATAATAAGAGTGCGACAACAAGTTAGAAGATGTCATTTTAAAGGAAAAAGAGGCGATGAAGGTATGTAGACAGGGGGACGACGTTTCATGCTTCAAAACAGAGTCATTACAGTGGAAAAAAAGTTAGCATAACATAAATCTAACAAATGATGCAATTTCAATTCATTTTTCATTATTTATTATAATAGAATAATTTACCAATAAATTTAAGTCTCTATATTCTTCCTATAAAGTCTGACTTTGATTGTTTAAACTTCATTAAATACAATTAGGGCCCACTGTAACACACAGTCAAGTGCAACAACAAATGCATAAATTAAACCCAGTTGGGCTTCAGTTCAAGTTTTGCTACAACTACAAGTGCGTATGGACGAGGGTGTCAGTATACGAGTATGTGAGTGTGCGAGCGTGCATGTGGACCATTATCGATACCGAAGGACATTATCAGCACACATGCACCAGCAGACAAAAGGGGAAGTTCGACGGAGGAAGAAGGCATCGGCATGGGCATGCATAAAACATGTTTTGGTCGGTTGGCTGCAAATTGAATCAATAATATCCAATCATGGGTTAACAATGCGAATTGATTTCTAGCAGCCATGCAGGAGCTACCTCCATCCTCTACCGTCTTGGTCGACATCATCGCCTTTACCGAAACCTCCGGCTCTTGGCCTAAAGGAGCGGCGCTTCCAGGAAGAGAGCGACGCCTGCACATATGCAAACATGACAGCACCAAATACAAGATAAGGCAACAACAAGGCAGCTTTCTCTGAGCCTTCGGTTCTCTTCCCCAAACGTAGGTGGACCCATGTAAATATTAATTAAGTTTTGGCTTTTGTTGCATTAGGCTTCGGTTTTTGCAGCAGACCAGCCAGCAGCAAGTTAAAGGCTCCCAGGTCCCAGGTGCCGGCGTCTATCATTGTATTAGCTTCAGTATTAGGTGGTTAGTTAGTTTGTCCTTTGTACTGACGACTTGGCTTAATCAAGTTAGCCGTACATGCCCTTTGTGTTTACCAGGCCATTTAATTAGTTCAAGGAGTCGTGTTTGATTTGACACTAATTCGGTGTATACTTCGTTGAGAACTCGTACACATTCAATGGACAATATTTGCAAAGATGAGAAAGCGACGGCAAAGCCAGACTTGGCTAAGAAATAAGGTTCTTGCAGCCCATTAATTTTCATTTGATCTGAGATCTCGTTTTCAATTGCGAGCTAAAATCGTAATAGTCTCGAAAATTTATCTCAGCTGGGAAATTAAATTTTGTACAATTTGTAAAAGTTTTCCAAATGGTGTCGCCAACTGCCGCGAACCGAGCTCAAGCAAACTTTTACCATTTCCATTATAAGTTTTACTTGATACACCCACCACAAACCAACCGCCCACCCGAAGGAGCAACCTCAATCCCAGCTTATGCGTTTATTTAATTTCGCTTGAGCATTACGCATACGCCAGGATGTTCACTTGGCTCTTATAATTGCCGCGTAATTGCCGAGAAGAATAACTGTCAGCTCCAACGACAACTTTAAACTCTTAAGTGACTCTACAATTGAAAATATCTGATGATTATAAAAATAATGCTTTTTTTATTAGTTTTAGAAACCTTTATAAGGCTTAAAACATTAAAACTATCAGAAGGTTAATTTAAGGAAATGGTTGAATTAATTAATTATGCAGGTACATACTATACTATTTATGGCCTCCTCTATTTAAATTTTACCATAGCATATCATTTTATTCGAAATTACACAAAGCAATGTTATCTGACTTTAATCCGTACGTACGACTAACTCGTGTTGATCGTGTAATTTTAGACATTAAGGGCGTTAAAGGCTACGTTTCCAAAACAAATCGGTGGGAAACGAATAGCCAGTGTGTCGTATTTCCAAAAATGAATTTAGATGAGGAAGATATGGGTTTGACTTAGATAACCAGTGGCCCCATCTCATCAACGCCGTCTACGAAGATCATGACCAGTCCTAGTGTAGGCCGAAGATTCTCTGGCATGTGTGTATTATCGCCGGCTAGCACAACCACACACGGTTTACCAGTGGCCAGAGGCGGCACTAGACGTGTTACATACTGACTCATTTGATGTTGATTTTCCCGGCGGACTTCCAGAGTCTTCAGGCCCTCGGGCCAACGGTCCTCGTGGCAGCGGTCCACCATCATGTTGAGCATGTACATCGGACAGCCACTGGATCGTAGGACGTCGCGTACCATCAGATGCATGGGAGTGTCCGGTGTGGAGATCAAGCTGCCCCAAGTATGAACAGAGGCTATGGACAGACCATTGCCCCATTGCATTAGAGAGAAGCGGTCTAGCCGCTCACCAATGTTGCGCAACACCGGATTTGTCGATCGAAGCGCTTCGATATAGTACTGTAAAAGCTCCAATTCTCGACGCTGACTCAGGTTATTGGTCTCCTGACTGACTTGTTTCTCCTTGAGATCGGAAACCTCCTTAACCAGTTTCTCGACCAATTCGCGCAGCTCGAAGACACAGTTGTGGTTCACCATTTCATCTTTCGGAACCTTTAATGGGAAAGATTTATTAATCAAAAAATCAGAGAGCTGGAAATATGATCGATTTGATATGATTACGGACGATATTGCTTTACCTTCATACCGCATCCCTTGTTGCACTGGACGACCACCTTGGGATTATGTTCACAGGTTGCTACGTGGGTCCGGAAGTCCTCAAGGGCCAGCAATTGGGCACAGCCGTTTTGAGAGAAGGAGCATTTGATCTTTAGTCTTGCAAGCATGTTTCGCATAAGACGCGAAACGGGCACCAGGTGGGTGTACAGAAGGACGGATCGGTCTACCGGGCAAATCTGTTTTTGCAACATCCACTTATCGATGCAAGCTCGACAATAGGCATGTTCACACTCCGACGATTGGACCGGTTCCTCTAGAACGTCCGTACAAATCGGACAGATAAGCTCCTCATCCACATTACCCACAATGTTGTTTAGATCAAAGCCCATGTTCAAAGGTTTGATTTCGATACCGAGGTAGGTGTAGCTGACGATTCTAAATTGTTAGTTTGAAGTTTTATTGATCGATCCCTTACCAATAAGTTTGCTATATACTTAGATACTTTCCAAAATGCTTGATTTTTATAATTTTCCAAACAAAATGTGCTATTTACCTGAAGTCTAGAAAGTGTCAGGTTTGACATTTGATTCGAAGCTACTATGACTTTTAGGTGTTATTTTGTATCACTTTTTTATGGCTTTTATCAATACTTACCTGGGGTTATTCAATTTCTGCAATTTTTTAAGACTTTCTGTTTTTGTTTAACCAAAAAATATAGGGCTCATCTGTTATGCAAACAGCTTTCGTTGAGCCCTCTGCAATTTAGGACACTTCAATTTCAATTCAAGCGCAACTGAAACCAACTAAACAACAAACAGAAAACAGGGAGCCAACCATTCATTTTCGCCCAGTTGGGTGGGTCTAAGGGTCTGAGGAATCGGTTTTCTTGAAGCACTTGCATATAGTGCGGTCGTAAAAACCCTTTGCATATTTATAGTCCCAACTGCTACGGAAGTTATGCAAATTGGAAAACTTATGGTACGACAACCCAAGATGATGCCGACCAAATCAACATTCGGCGCCCACGTTCTTGCTCGCTTTGGTCAGAACGAAAGCCAAGTGCTGAATTTTATTTATAAAGTGAAATTTTAACAAATTAACAGCAAATGCTGGGACATGGGCAAACAAATAAACTTTCCATCTTCTTCAGCTCGACAATGGCCGAATTTCGAACAAACACTCGTCAGACGGCACGGCACACACAGTCATGATTGTGACAACATATTGCCATGTCAAAATATTTACACTATATCAACTGCTCCTATGCAAACCCTGGATGCAAACTGGAATATGTGTATGTACGAGTACGTATAGAGAGGACAATGTGTATGACTGGGTGGATATTCGGTTTTAAATTTCATTTGGCTGCGCCATCCGCCTGGATATTAAATTTCATGTTTTTCCTTAGAGTGGCATTTGCTTTTGTCTGGCTTTTTGCATTTCGTGTGACAATTCTACTGCATCGAAGGCTCATCGCTGGATTGCAATTTTAGTTTACTATGCATTGCTGTTACCCAAAAACCCAACTGAACTTCTCGTTGCTTATCTCCAAATTCAACTGTCAGTCGGAGCTAGCTTTTCTGTATTCTCTAAATTCTCATTTTAGCATATTCAGTTTTCGGTATTTCATAATTTCCCTTTATACTTTTTCATTTTCCTCCAAACACTCAATTACCCCGATGTACTTTGATGTATCAAATAAATCACAATTGATTATTGCATTTCTCTAACCATCTGGTGTGAAATATGTATTTGAATAAATCGTGTTATAATCAAAATTTATTTAATTTATGTGTTTCGTTTATCAATCTATGGCCTTTGTGAAAATCAATGCCTATATTTCAAATTTCTGAGCTGATGAAGCGCACTAGAAAATAATCAACAATTTTCATTTGACTTGGCTCAGATAAAAACAAACCAGCAGAGAGACATTCAACCACACACAAAACGAACCACTCAAGCAGGCTAATTTAATAAGTTAAACACAACATGGATAAGGGCCAACATACACAAATACACAAGAAAATGTTTTGCCAACAAATCTGACTGAATTTATGCATTTATGAGAGTAAACTTATATGATAGCATAAAAATGGTATATATTCTATAAATATTTGTTGCATTTTCCTATTGATTATATTTTTTTCTTACTTTCTTTCTCCTAGTGTATTTATGTACGATAACCATCTAATAAGGTTAGCAACGTGTAAACAGTCATTATGTGAGTGCGTCTGTTTTGGTATGTAACGAGCCACAAATGCTTGCCACACAATGTTTATTTGCATTTATATTTGCTGTTTTTCCGCCATTGTCATTTCATTGCAACTGAAGTACGTGCCACATTGTCGTCAGCTTCGTAGTACCACATTCTCTTAGAAACCAATCCTTAATGATGTTTAAGAAGAAGCTCCGGACTAAGGCTTAGAAACCTGATCTGAGGTTTAAAGATTCTTACATTTTAACTAATGCTTGAAAAATCTTTAGTTAAATTATGGCAGGCATGCAACATGGCTAACTTTTGTTAAGTTTCTTTTTAACTTTTTGCACTGACACAAGGATTCATTTCGTAAAGCAATAAGCAAATTGTCATTCGTGTTCGGACCGCCAAAAAGATACAAAAAATTACCATGAATTACTGTAATTCAGCTTGTCCAAGAATGGCTGCTGCTCGGGCCCTAAGCCATGTCCATTACATGGAAATGGAACATGTCACAGGACATCGTCACCGGGATGAGAGAGCCGGGAGCCGTGTGTGTTGGTACGATCTCTTGGTCCTGCGATGGTCAAGCGGTCACGTTCGCATTGTACGACCGGAACGTGCAATTTTTCTTATGGATGCGAGAAGCATTTTCCGGGGGAGAGAGGAAACGCAATAAGCACAAGTTTTATGCAATAAAATTAGCCCACAATCTACACGAGCAGGACACGCAGGATGCTTCAGTGGCTGATAAGATAATTTTATTTGGATGTTATTGCATAAAGTCATGTGAGCAGCGGAAATGAGTTGAACTAAAGTAAAGCGACTACGTGCCGCTGAGTTAAGGATTGGAGAGGAAGGTAGGGGCAGCTGTGACTTCGCCCTCTGAAGCATTGAAAATTTGGTTCAAAGCAGTTAAACATCATTTACGGCTCCTTAAAAATATTATACAAACAGAGAAAACTTTTGCTATTATTAATTAACTTAACTTAATTTAAAAGAAATAGAATAGTTCTTGATTTTGCTTTTGACCTTCCTGGATCATTTTATGAATGACCTGATGGGCCTATTTTCCTAACGCAATCGCAGTCTTAGCCAAATCTCATCGCCTTCATCATCATCATAGCAGCTCTCAGGGCACAAATTAGGCAAAAAGTACGAATTCTGGCTCTGGCTTCATTGTCCGCTCAAGCGGTACTAAATCGTATGCCAATGGCAATGGCCTTTTTCACTTTTCAAGCCGTCTCTGTCAGTAAGCCACGAATTTACTCCGAGCTTGACTAAGGCGACTAAAGGTCATTATTGCGAAAGAGCATCAATGGTTCGCCTTGGGTGAAGCAATCATAAAGCTTCATAAATGTTTGCTGCGAACGTTTTGCTGAAATTTAACAACTGACCGCGCACAAAAACATATTTTTTTCTCTTTGCCACACCCGAGGCGACAACAAAAAGCCAGAAAACGATGGAGCCACAAAATCGAGAATGCCAGGCGAGGGAACGGCCTCAAGTGCCGCAAGAGCACTTAATACTAATTAGCTTTGCGCCTACGCCGTGACCTACGACCTGCGATCCAGCCAACGGAATTTCCGGAAACGGAACCGAGTCTGGGGACCAGATTGAGAGAGTGTGAGAAAGGGGAGGGTGACCGGCATTCTGGCAATCTGTGCCGCGCTTAAGTGGCCGCAACACGCAGAAACACGGTAATTCTGGGGCGGGGGTGGGTTAACAGCCTGGGGGCGTCATTTTTATGAGCTAATTAAGTTGTTAGACTTGATGAAAAACTCATTTCGTCGCAGGTCCATATCTAATTTGCATTAATTACGAGCTGGCGACAACAAAACACAATAAACGAGGAACAAATTATTTGAGCAATCTTTTGGACTTATTTTTAGGTATTTGTCCAAAACTCAAATGTCTTTACCCGACCTCCTATTTTTCACTGGCCATTTAATTGGCAGGCAATTTGCCTTTATTGGCAACTGCAAAAATAAATAATGACAATTGGAACGACCAACTTTTTGGCCGGAATCTTGCATTGGACTTTGCGTGCAACACTTGCAACACTTTGAGTCGTTTGTAGCCGCCCTGCCAAGTTCAAATTTGCACATAGTTTATAATTTTCTTAACAACTTCGCTGGTTCCAGCCAATTGAAATGAGAGTACACAACTTTTTAATGGCCAACGGCTCGAGGAACTTGGCCAGGACACTCCCTAGTTGGCTTGCCCAAAAACTTTTCGAATTATAAGCGAATGGCTAAGCGCCTTGTCGAGGAATGTCTGCGACATTAATTCTTAGCCCTTTTTGTCAAGGTCGTTGCGGCCTGACTTTTGAGTTAATCGAAAAAGTTTTTGATTTCAAAAGAACTGAATTCTCAATAAGTAGTTTGATATAAATATTATGTGGTTAACTTGAAAGTTTTAAGTCGTAAGTTTTTGAAATCTGTATTGTCATGGAATTCTTTTTAGCAAAGTTTAAATACTATATATAAATTTCACTCTATCCAGCACTTGACAAAGCTAGCAAACCACATTTAAATTGTTCCTAAAATCAAATATATTTATATTATTTTTCCAAAACCAGTGCTAAATTCGATTTAATGGACTTCTAAGCCCCAAAAGCCTACTCCATTAAAATACATCCATCCCAAATCAGACTTAATTTTCCTATGACTAAATATCACCACAAAAAAATCAAATCCGGCGGAATTAAGTGCTCCCTGGGGCCCAATCAGCAGGAGCTCGCCAACTGTTGGACATTTTGATGTATAGTCGTCAAAATTGCGGCCTTTCCCCAAACCGACGACACAGCAAGTCATCACAATAAATGCCAATTTATTTTCGCTCTTTTTTCAAAAAAAAAAAAAAACAAGAAAGGAAATTCCAATTGAGGTTTTTGGTTGAGTTTCGGCAGGCAAATCGAACAATGATTAATCATTGCTCGGACGACATAATTATTTCGTCGGCAAACTGGGCGATTGAGTTTGAACGTTGGCCGCTAATAAAATCGTTGACAGAAAAGAAATTCTCTATTGGCCATAATGATTATGTAATGAATATGTTGGTGGAAAAGTTTGGCGGGCAAAAACTTTTCAAGGATGGGCGAACGAACAAAAAGTGTTACCTTATTGGACGCTGGGTGTCGCCGTCGTGATAAATTATGTTAATAACGTTGAGTAGGAGGCAACTTGGCTGAAAGTTGAAAGCTACAAAAGTTTCCTCGCTCATCCCTTGTCAAGAATCAGGCCACGTTCCACTGCCGCACTTATTATGTTGCTGCCCCTCGCAATATTCGACCGTTTTTCGACCATAATATTGTGTGCATATCATATTGAGTGGGTCGTCCTAAGTAGTTGGC